ATAGGCTTCTCTTCTCCTTCTTGAGACTTGAAGCCATTTTCTTCACACTTTCTTCTTGTAGACACCTTGAGTGAGTGGGAAACACTATGGTGAGTGTGTTGGGATCATCATTCTGAGTTTTTACCTCTGTTGGAGGGTCCTTGTTTGCTGACTTTGGGGGTTGAGAGTGTTGAGCCTTTGTGGTAGCATTTTGGAGCTAAAAGGAGCTTTCTTGTGGTATAAAAGAACCACCTTTGTACACTATTTTCGTGTACAGTGAGAGACAGAACCTTGGAGCTGTTGTGTGAGCTCCAAGAGCACCCTTTTTCTGAGTTTGAGCTTTGGTAAGCTTCATCACCTCTGATCTTGAGTCTTTTATGCTTAAAATGGAACCTTGATGCATGTAAAGGTTAAAAGATGATAACTTAATGTTGGGGTTGGTCAAACACACCTAGAAATGCATGTTTAGGTGTTTAAAATCGGTAAAAACCCAACCTTGGAAGGATATCTTCACGAAATGCAGTTTCTGCATTCTGTCGTGAAATATCCGGATATGTGCCCGAGAAATTTCCGGATATGTGATATCCGGATATGGGTTTTGAGTATCCGGATATGGGATTCTGGATATCCGGATATTGCATATCCGGATATATCCAGTGAGATATCCGGATATTGCATATCCGGATATGGTCCCAAGGAATATCAGGATATTCTGGGATTTCGTAGAACAGTAGCTGTGCTGTGTGTACAGTAGGCTATTGGGGGGGTTTGTGGACCCTAGATTGATGAAGTTGAACTTCTGTAATTAATGAGTTAAGTCAGAATCAAGTGATTAAGGGCTTATGGCTTGGTATGGAGCCTTAAGACGTAAAACGTAAGGAAAGGCGTTGTCTTTAAGTTATATGCTTGTGTTGCATTATTATTGATACAGTATTGGTCCATAACAGATTTTGAATATGCTGTGTTTGGACTTTGAGCTGTGGACTCTTGGCTTTGGGTGTTAGCTTGCAAGGTAAGCTTTCGTGTCCTCGGTTTAGCCATGTTGTGGTTCCACCATGTCCCTTGGGGGTGTGGTTGTATGCATGTTGTGTTACATGCTTTGAATATTTTAAATGCTGTTGAGCTTTATGTGTAATGGCTTTTAATATACATGTGTTGTTCCATCTTGACAGTAAACCTGAGTATGTAGCGCCATACAAGACGGTGATCCGGGGTGGATGCAAGTAGCGTCTTGCACTGGTGTGGGTATTTGGCATATGTAAATCCTGCATTTCTCTGGCCAGTAGAATAGAATTGACACACATGACATGATTATCTGCTGCATTGCACTATTTTAGAACTGATGATGATAAACTGCTTTTGAACTTATATTGCACATGCAAGTGAGCTTAGGGTGGAAGATCCTTGAGGACCCCTTGTCTTACTGAGATTTCTTGTTTAGAGATCTCACCCCACGTTTGGGGAATGCTTATTTCAGGTTCCAGTAGTTTGGTGACTAATGCCTCTGGCGGCAGGAGGCCAGAGCTTAGTTGATGATATTATGTTGTATTGCTGCCATGACTGGATATGGATGTTGTTTATGTTTTCCGCTATTTATGCTTATGTTGTTGTTGAGACTGATGTTGGGCGTGTTGCCTTATTTGAGTGAGCATGGGATTGTCCATGACACATTATGTTAGTATTTTAGATTGGAGTTGTATAAACTGTTAGATGGTCCGGTCTACATTGCTGTAGTTCCGTGACTAGAGCCACACTTTTATTATATATGTGATGAGGTATATTCAGATAGCTGTTTTATTGCAATTACATACAGGCGATGTTTTATTAATTGATTAATAAGCAAGTTGGTAATGCTAATGACATCATAATTAAAAAGAAAAAGATATTCCGCATTTTTAATTAAGCGCTGCTTAATACGATAGTATGATAACATTACCAGATATATACGGGGTGTTACACAGGTACCTCAGGGGTTGAGACTTTTGGTGGCAGGAGGCCAGAGTAGAGTTGATTATGCATGCTACTTACTGATATGCCTGGATATTGATTATGCTTTACTTTCAGTGTATTGCTATTAGATTGAGAAACTGTGGCTATGAGCCTTATTTGGTGAGCATGGGTTTTCTATGCCATTTTGATATCAAACGTGTTTGATTTTACTTGAGTTGTATAATTGTATCTGGATCTGGTCCGGTCTACACGTTGTAGTTCCGTGACTAGATGCATATATATATGATGAGGTTATTCAGTTAGTTATTTATTGCAATGTACATACAGGCAATATTTTGAAAATGAATATGTAATCCACTTGGTTAATAATGAATAGTTCATAATTGGAAAGAAAAAGTCAGCTTCCGTATTTATTTAGTTGCGCTATTACCACATGTATGTTTAATACACCGGGTGCACACGAGGTGTTACAATCTTCATGGAAGTTTGAACCAGTTATGGTTTTACCTTCCTTAATCTTCATCGCGCTTCATGGAAGTTTTAACCAGTTAAGGTTTTACTTTCCTTAATCTTCATGGAAGTTTTAACCTGTTAAGGTTTTACCTTCCTTCATCTTCACGGAAGTTTTAACCAGTTAAGGTTTTACCTTCCTTCATCTTCATCACGCTTCATGGAAGTTTTAAGCAATGAAGGTTTTACCTTCCTTAATCTTCGTGGAAGTTTTAACTAGTTAAGGTTTACCTTCCTTAATCTTCATTCTTGAGTTTTTAACCTATAGGCTTTATCCTCAAGTTAAAACTTGAGCTTTTAATCTTTGTCAGGTTTTACCCTCAAGCGTCTTCAAACCTAAGCTTAAGATCTTTAAATGCTTTTAGCAGATTGTAGACGAGGTTCATATCTCTCTCGTTTGGTAAAACCTGCAATTTCCACAAATCTCACAGGATAATAATATCATGTCATTCGGATGATAAGGGCAACAAGATCAGGTTAAATCAGTTCAAAGTAATAACTTTGCTGATATCAAATGTAAAACTTTTCTGAGTTTATCTGTGGTTCACGCGAGATTTTGGTCTTTGTCTCTTATCAATCGTGGATCCTTGCAACCTTTTAAGAATTTGCAGACATGGATCCTTGCAACCTTTTGGGGTGGGAATTGAATTTTACCTCTTTCCCACAGACAGCGCCAATGATCAGAACCAGTTTTACAACTGGGCTGATCATGTGATCTTCCTCTACAAAATGACCCGGAACCGCCTTGGGTCAGAGCATCTCGCTGTTGGAGCAGCTTTAACCCATGGGTCTTCAATGGAACAAGATGTGGGGTGTACCTGCAAGACACTCCGACGCTCAAGTCAAATATGGTTCAAGCAGGTTTTAATTATGTAGAAAATGTGGACCTTTGTGTTAACACATATGTATTTATAATGCAGAGATGACCAACTTGGGAGATGTCTTTTTTCATGGTGAAGGCATTCATATCTTTTCATTGGTTCTTGTGGGTGGCTGATGTTTCTTGGCAGTGAGGTTTGTGAAAGAAGAAGCTTGCTGTCATACGGCATTTAATCTTGAAGAGCTTTGCAGAGATAGGCTCTAGGAGATAAAGAAGTGGTAGCAGCCTTTGTTGACTATCATCTTTCTTGGTGATGAAGGCTTTTAATTTGGGTCTTGTGTTATTATAATATAAATCCAGATCAGGTATATTTGAAAGTTTGTTTTCTTCGATTTAATTATTGAAAAAAGTCATGCAAAAACAATAATAAATGTTGCATGCAAGTTATTTTGTTTCTCTTATAAAGCTGTGAGTATGGGTGCTAAACGAGCCAGGGGCCTTACAGGGGCCTTTGGCTCGGCTCGTGAAGGCCTGAGCTTACATGTCTAAAATTGATTGTTAGAACAAGGCTTGGACTTGTATAAAAGCTCGTTTAATAAAAAGGCCTCAGGCTTCAATTCAAAAGCTCGGCCTTAGAACCTCTGAGGCTGGCCTAATATATTAATTTTTATTTATATTTTATATTTTTTTATACTACTTGTGATAGCCATCTCTCTCTTCTCAATCAATTTCATCCCATTTTATTAATTAAACATACTTTTTGAATGATTTTGTTTTATATTATGTTGTTTAGATATACATTAAATTTATGAATATTTATGGAATTACTAGTGCTGTTGATTGTATATTTTGTTTGGATAAGTTTTTTTTGTCTTATTTTTTTAAACAAGCTAACAGGCTAAATCAGACTTTTATTTTTTGTAAATAAGACAGATCACAGGCTGAAATTATATTCATAACAGGTAACAGGCTTGGTCAGGCTGACACATTTAAACACAAGCTTAACCTTTTAAGACCAAAACTCGGCTCGACCCTTTAACACCCCTAGCCGTGAGCCTAACGTTTGTCCGTCAAAATTAGTGACATAATTTGACGTGCATCCTTTCATTTAAACAATATTTACAATATTATGCAGACATATATGATTTTACTGAATTTTTAAATAAATACTTATAATTTCATAATTTGTAAATGACTGCCGCCATATATACAATTAACCTTAACTGTATTACATCAGTTAACAAATCAAAGCTAAATTTAAAACATACCAGCGGTTAACTCTAATCACCACCAGTGAACCGGCCACAGTGTAGTGTAAAATAGAAGGGATCATATTTTTCAATATATAACATCATTTATTTATTTTGCAATTTGCATCACATAAACACTATAAATAGAGCAAATGCAAAACAAAATTTACATACGATGATGTCGCTGAGATTTTGAACCTATAATCTCATGTAAACTACACAAATTCTTCACCACCAGGACAATTCTAATAGCTTAAAAACGCTAACATTTTGAATGATGCATAGAGGGGACCTTAACACGACTTTAAATTTATGATATTCACATAAACCTACTAACCCAAAGCAATAATTAAAGCCAAGCCAATGCCACATAAATTGTTTGGCATGCAAATACAAGAGTCGAAACTGAGGACATTATTATACGTACACATGAAGCAGGACTACCACTGTTTTGGGACATATGAGGAGTCGCTTATATTGATATTACTAATTTAGTTTTCAATTTTGTTTTGGAGAGCATGGCCAACACCAGGGCTGTGACCTGGGTTTGTGGGTTTGAAATCATTTTTTGATCCCTCAGTCATAGAAACTTCAACATTTGGACTCTTAACTACCACCATTGCTTTCATATTGTTATCTTCTCTTGAAAAACTACAGTGGCCAACACCAGGACTGCAACCTGGTGCTGTGGGTCGGAAACCATTTGTGTAAGGTGCATCTGAGTCTCCAAAACTAGGTACTGCATAATTTGGCATCATGGGTGAGTCAACTTTATTCTCTGATGATGGAATAGAAACATGTTGGTTCGATGGCTTTATCTGCCTGCCATGAGTTAGAAGGAAATCATTGCAGGCAACTAGTGCTACAAAAACAGCAAAATATTTTAGCGTGGCCTGAAATTTAACCATGACTAGAGAAGCTAGAGGTACGTAACTGAAAGGCTTTTGTGTAGGTAGGGACTAGAGAGAATGACCTGTAGGAAATTAGAGCTAGTTTGCTCAAATATTTGTAAGAGGCAAATGCGAAGGGAGATGATATGATCACAAGTTATGGGATCCTCACATATTTATAATCTTGTTGAGTATGTAAATGCTCTCTCAAGATTCCAACTACTAATTATGTCATTTGACTAAATGTGTGGAGTACATGCTCTGCAAATGGGATCATTTGAAAATGGATCCTCTGACATGATATGAGGTATACATGAGACGATCAGAAATGTTTATAGACAAATGAATAGTTATCATTTTCTTTTTCTCTATTCTAATACGCATTCTATAGCTGTTTGTAAATGGTTAAAAACATCTCACCTGATCTCATGTCACATGACATATGATCCATTTCATGGAAAGTTTATGTAAATTAGCTTTTAATTCCATAGGTCTCACTCTAATATGTTCTTTTGCTTACATAAAAATAAATTGGGCTCATAATTTTTTTTATATGAAATTTTCTCTTGATTTTGATATTTGTCTCTTTTGATCTTCACCTCTTCTTGTGTTGCATAGTATTGTATGATTTTATATCTATGTATCATATCTTAATTAGAACAGTCACGATTACGCACAGAAATGCTATATAATATACATATACATATTGAAGGACTTGAAATTGAAGTTTGAATTTAAACTTAAATCGTAATTTACAAAGCCCCCTTGATATATGTTTTTTTTCATTAGCCAAACAGGTACTAAAGAAGAGCTATGAGAAACCAATTAAAGAATAGTTATTCGACTTGCGCACCATCAAAATGGACCCTTCAGAAAGATATGGGGATTCTTCTGTACCTTCCTTCAACATGATCCTCTGTTATGAAAAATATATTTTTGTTTTTGGGACGCTAATTATCAAATGGGGTAGAATGATTGCGCAGCCGCAGGCTCAAAGCTAAAGAAAGATAATGATTTTTATAAGCTTATCGCTTTTAAATTTGACTTGCATCAAGATTTGGTAATGCACTGCGTATATGATCTATTTGATTGGGTATTGTTTAGACCATTATATTTGGCAATCGATATTCAAGCCTCCTTAATTTGAATCATCGAATCACAAAGCTGTGGTAACTACACTGTTACGTGTACCTGTTCTTCACCACCATCATCCAAAATAAACTATGCATATGATATGATAGATGCACACATTCATGCTCCCACATACGTCATATTCTTAGTTGGGTTTTTTTTTTTTTTTTTTTTATGACTCCTATGTTGAACGGAAAATTCAGATGCACACATACCATAACATCACACTTAAATAGAAATGAGTTGATGTGAATTTCTGGGATGACACATTTTTCATTATGTGAGGCTATGTGGTATATATATGCATTTAATTATTAGCTAGTAAGGATTATTTTTTAGATATTATTATTATTTTATAATTTTATGCAAAAGGAAGGCTAGGTATAAAGATTGTCTCCACCCCACATTCACTAGTCGATTTTAACAGGGAGTGGGCTTTTTTTTAATTTAAGGTCACTTAATTTAAGAGAGAGAGAGTGATGATTTATTTATTGGAAATATTCCATCGGTTCATCGCTTCGCGATTAGTCCGATTCGGGGCGGGTCCAGGATTAAGGCTTTAAACCCCTCCCAAAGGTGGTACTGGGGAGGTTTGAACACATGCCCTCACCCCACCTGCTCAGCTCCCATGCGACAACTGAGCTACCACCATTTGGTGATGATTTATTTATTCGGATAGCGGAGAACAAACAAAGACAATTAGAAAGCAAAAACTATTACCCTGAGAAGGTCTAAAATCTCATAGTATCCGCTACGCTGATGGGAGCAAGACCGGTAGAAAAGGAAATCAGGAACACCATTGCCTTCCCTCAAATGATGAAATTTACTATTAATAAAAAATAAGAATAATAAAATTGATTCTAATAAATAAAGCGCGCAAATGAATAAAGGTCGTAAATGTCTTTGCAAGTAGTATAATATTACGCTTTTAATAAGTTTTACTACTCACTGTGATGATTTTTCATATATCCAAGTTGCGATGAATCACGATCTTGCACCATGAGATACGAGATATAACATGATACGACATTTTGATACATTAATTCTAAAAAAATGATATATTTTAATATATTAGAACATATTTTGATATTAAATAATATTTTTAATATATGTAGTGTATATTGTATTTAATATTCAATAGTCTAATAAAAAAATAAAACTAAATTTATAATACCCATCAATTTTGTAAAAAAAAAAAATATAAGATATAAATATTTACTATTATATTTTCAAATTGAAAATCTCTTATACACTCCAGTGAGATTTATTTCGTATCTATTTTTTATTTTATTTTATCAGTTTGGTAAAATATCGATAATTTTTCTATTGATATGTAATGAAATTTCTAATATTATAAATGTCAAAACGTGTCAAAGAGTCGGAGAGTGTCGGGGTGTTGAGAAGTATCAAACATGATACTTCATATTTTTTGAAGTATCGGTGATAAATAGATGAATCCCTATGTCAATGAGTTTGTATAAACTTTTTACTTTACAATAACTGTAATTATAAATTAATTTGTCGCGAATTTTATACGTAAGTTTTTCTCTTTGACTACTTTAGGAATTTTAAACTTTTTAGTAAATCATCAAATTTGTCAATCTTTTTTTATTTTTTAATGTGAATTTGTTAAACTTTGTTACATTAATTATTATTTATGAATGAAACTATTGACAATTCTAATGGAAGAAAAGTTAATCCTTTATTAAGAAGTCCCTCTCTTTAGGAGACGATTTTGTGGTGCTTCTTGTAGTTCCTGCTGATCTGGATCATGTTCCCTCTATTTTGTAGTTTTTTCTTTGGCCTTGCCTTTTCTATGTACTAAAAAAAAAAACTAGTCCTTTATTATGAAGAATATGATATATTTTTTTCGTGTCTACTTTGCTTATTTATTTCCAGTATTATTAGATCAGAATTTTGGAAGTAGAAAAAAATTGTGAAAGTTAGATGAATAAGTAGAGTAGATATATATATATATATATATATATATATATATATATATATATATATATAAAAGCACAATATCTTATACCTATTCAAATATTAAAAAAAATTATTGAACAAGGTATGTTACTCTTTTATATAGACTTGGCAAAAACTGGTCAACCCATCCCGCAATGTTTTTAGCCCGTCAAAATTGGAGAGAGTTAACCTGTTATTAGTGAGTGCACGTAGATATAGATTGTGACCAACGAAGCACGAACACGTTGAATTTTGTAAAAGTTGCATGTCGAATACTGACACACTCCGACATGCGTCTGACATGCAGTCAACATTTTGGGACATGTGGTCAACTCTCCGATACGTTCCGACACATTTTTCTGACACGCAGTCGACTTTTTCTGACACACAGTCAACGCTCGGACACGTTTTTTTTAGGTCTTAATTTTGATTTATTAACTAAACATAAAAAAATAATTTATAAATCATATTTTTTCTGTTATAAAATTTGACATGAAAAATTAATAAGATAAGATAAATTTATTTTTGTTTATATTTATATTGTGAAATTTGAATATTTGATTGGTTATATGACTTGTTATGGGTTGTTATATATATTAAATATAAATTATAGTATATATATTAAAAATATTATTTAATATTAAAACGTGTCCCAACGTGTCAAAATATGACATTTTATAGAATTAACATGTCGGTGTGTCGTGTCGTATTCAGTATTCCATGTCAGTGTCGATGCAACATAGATTGTGACTCGTGAATTATTTTCTTGAATTTGGTCGCCATCTTTTTTCTTTAAATTTATTTATTTTTTATTTTTTAATTTTACTGCCCATTGTCAGTTGTCACTGTTTGTGAGACTATTGAACTGGCATTCTTTTCTTCCAATGTATCAACCAAGAATGAATGAGATTATTGGCCAACGCTAGAAATTTTTCTTTAAACTACGCATTATCGCTTTCAATTATTTGCATACTGTTTGTACCGATGAGATCTATAAGCCCACTATGTTCCCGATGGGATGAGTCAATGTATGGATAATACCTTTAGCACTGATACAGACCAGGCTAAGAAGTATAAAGCCAAGCGTAAGCAGTGAATAGATAATAAGCAAAAGAATGATATGACTCAAGTAAATGGGCAATATAACGATACATAAGATACCTGTAAGGTGTGCCCATGGGGGTTATTTATAGGGGAAATGGTGTGGGTTGGTGAGGGGGGGTCAACTCTCCTTGGGATTTACTCCCATGATGAAGTGTTAGGCGTGCTGGGGCTATCATTGTGGCAGTGTTGCGCCCTCTGTATACTGGCGGTGTCAGCACCGGGCAAAGGGGGAGTTTCCCTTTGCGGTGTCTGTGGTAGTCGCCTTCGATGGCTAGCGTTCCAAGATGGGACATTTTGGTGTATGTCTTGGACCTGCTGCTACGTTGGGGGTTGAGTGGGTCCATGTCAGCCCTTAGGGCTGACGCGGGGTCACGCCCGGTATTGGGCCTGGATAGTTGGGCCACTTTAGTACTTGGGCCATCCGGAACAGGAGCCCCCCAGCTTGGTAGCAAGCGTAGTTTGGTGCCAAGTTGTAGTCTTTGGGCGCTACCTTTCTGGTGATTACAATGATTAATCGTTGCCTAAATATTGTAGTAGACTTGTGCGGTCGCTAAGTCGCGACTGTTAGGCGTTCAGGTTGGTGTCGCCCATTCGCACCTTCTCGGTGCCTCTTGAGAATAGTACGGGTAGACTTATATTGGAATCGAGTCACAATTATTGGGCGTCTCCAGGTTGGTGTCGCCCATTTGACGGATCTTGGGCGTCTTTGTTTGGTGCGGTGACATCAACCGTTTTGTCTCTTGCTCTTCCAGGGATACATAGGGTATTTCACCTTCCTAACACGGGAGTTGTCTTTCCGAATTTCGAGGAATTATAATGAT